CCAGAGAAGCCATCTGGTCTTGGACTTTTATTTTTTGGGAGGTTTTTGATTACTGTTTCAATCTCTTTACTTGTGATTGATCTGTTCAGATTCTCTATTTCTTCTTGGTTCAGTTTTGGGAGGTTGTATGAGTCTAAGAATTTATCCATTTCTTCTAGATTGTCCAATTTGTTGGCATATAGTTTTCCATAGTATTCTCTTATAATCCTTTGTATTTCTGTGGTGTCCATTGTAATTTCTCTTCTTTCATTTCTAATTTTATTTATTTGAACCTTCTCTCTTTTTTTCTTAGTGAGTTTGTCAGTTTTGTTTATTTTCTCAAAGAACCAGCTTTTAGTTTCATTGATCCTTTCTACTGGTTTTTTCTTTGGTTTCAATTTCATTTATTTCTGCTCTAATTTTTATTATTTTCCTCCTTCTGCTGACTTTGGGCTTTGTTTTCTTCTTTTTCTTTTGGGATTTTTCCTGTTTGTTAAGGTGGACCTGTATTGCTATTAGTTTCCCTCTCAGGACCACTTTAGCTGCATCTCATATGAGTTGGTATGGTGTATTTTCATTTTTATTTGTCTCCAGATATTTTTTGATTTCTCCTTTAATTTCTTCAATGATCCATTCATTGTTAAGTACCACGTTGTTTAGTATCCAGATCTTTGTCACTTGCCCAGTTTTTTCTTGTAGTTGATTTCCAGTTTCATAGCATTATGGTCAGAAAAGATGCTTGTTATGATTTCAATCTTCTTAAATTTATAGAGGCTTGTTTCCCAACACATGATCTATGTGCACTTGAGAAGAATGTGTAATCTGCTGTGTTTGGATGGAGTGCTCTGTATATATCTGTTAAGTGCATCTCATCTAGTTTTTTGTTTAAGTCCACTATTTCTTTATTGACTTTCTGTCTGGATGATCTATCCATTGATGTAAGTGAGGTGTTAAGATCCCCTACTATTATTGTGTTGTTGTTAATATCTCCTTTTAGGTTTGTTAATACTTGCTTTATGAACTTTGGTGCTCCTGTGTTGAGTGCATATATATTTATAAGTGATATGTCTTCTTGGTGGAGTATCACTTTTATCATTATATATTGCGCCTCTTTGTCTCTCATTACCTGTTTTATCTTGAAGTCTACTTTGTCTGATATAAGTATGGCAACACCTGCTTTCTTTTGTTTGCCATTAGCTTGGAGTATTGTCTTCCATCCTTTCACTCTGAGCCTGCGTTTGTCTTTAGAGCTGAGATGTGTTTCCTGGAGGCAGCATATTGTTGGGTCTTGTTTTTTAATCCGTCCCGCTACTCTGTGTCTTTTGATTGGAGAATTCAATCCATTTACATTTAGAGTGATTGTTGATATATGAGGGCTTAATGTTGCTATTTTATTGCTCATTTTCCAGTTCTTTTGCATTTGCTTTGTTTCTCGTCCCGTGTGTTTTGGACTACCAGTTCAGTTTGGTAGTTCTCTGTGGTAGTTTTGTTAGTTTTCTCTTCATTTATCATTTGTGTCTCTGTTCTGATTATTCGTTTAGTGGTTACCATGAGGTTTGTATAAAAAAATCTCGTAGATGAGATAGTCCGTTTTCTGATAGCCTCTTATTTCCTTCGTCTAAGCCAATTCCATCCCTTTCCTCTTCCCCTTCTAAGTTATTGTCACAACTTATTCTATCTTGTATTGTGAGTTGTGGTTAAAATGACAAGATTATATTTATTTTTTATGTTTCCCTTCCCTTTATCTTTAATGTTATAATTGTTTGCTAACCTGTTCTGATAGAAAGCTGCAATTTTCTGATTTTGTCTGCCTATTTATCTCCTTGCTCAAGGCTTCGTAAACCCTTTTTTGTTTTCAGGTACGAGGGCCTTCTAAGCATTTCTAGTATGGGGGAGTCTTGTGGCAATGAGCTCCCTTAGCTTTTGTTTATCTGGGAAAGTTTTTATTTATCAATCACTGGATAGAGTATTCTTGGCTGAAAGTTTTTGTCTTTCAGAATTTAGAATATATCATTTCACTCTCTCCTAGCCTGTAAGGTTTCTGCTGAGAAATCCGCTGAAAGCCTGATAGGGGTTCCTTTGTAAGTTATTGTCTTCTGCCTTTCTGCCCTTAATATTTTTTCTTTGTCATTGACTTTTGCCAGTTTTACTACTATATGCCTTGGAGAAGGTCTTTTTACATTGATATAATTAGGAGTTCTGTTAGCTTCTTTCACTTGTATTTCCAGCTCGTTCCCCAAGTTTGGGAAGTTCTCAGGTATTATTTCTTTGAACAAGCTTTCTTCTCCATTCTCCTTCTCTTCTCTCTCTGGAATACCTATAATCCTTATGTTGCATTTCCTAATTGAGTCAGATACTTCTCAGAGAATTTCTTTTAGTCTTAGTTCTTTTTAGTCTTAGTTCTCTCACCTCTTCCATCTGAAGCATTTCTATATTTCTGTCCTCCAGACTGCTGATTCTCTCCTCCATAATATCAGTTCTGTTATTCAGGGAGTCCAGATTTTTCTTTGTCTCATCCATTGTGTTTTTCATCTCCAACATTTCTGATTGGTTTTTCTTTATAGTTTCAATCTCTTTTGTGAAGTAGTTCCTGATTTCATTGAACTATCTGTATTTTCTTGTAATTTGTTGAGTTTTTTATGATAGCTATTTTGAATTCTCTGTCATTTAGATTGTAAATTTCTCTGACTTCAGGACTGATTTCTGGGTGCTTGTCATCTTCCTTCTGGTCTGGTGTATTAGTATATTTTTTCATACTGTTTGATGATGTGGATTTGTGCCTCCATGTAGTTAGAGTATCTGGTCATAGATTCCACCTGCCACCACTGGGTGGGTGTCAAGAGCTGTTTATTCTGAGCCCGCCACAATCTGCAGTTCGCTTGCTTACAGCTGCTGCTTTTCTCATGTCTGCTCAGGCGCTCTGGCCATCTGCCTGAGGTGGAGCACCAGGCAGGAAGAGGGGTGCTTTCTTTTGCCTGTGAGATCCTGGGGGCATTCTCACTTTGCTGTCACTATCTGCTCTCCTGGAGTGCTGGCTTGATGAACACACCCCCGCAATCACTTAGTCACCTCTGTGTGGGACTTTCCCATGGGCTGTGGGGGAACTGCCAAACTGTTTTCCACAGTGGCTGCACCATTTTACATTCCCGCCAGCAATGTACAAGAGTTCCAATTCCTCCACATCCTTTCCAGCACTTGTTTTCACTTTTTTTGTTATAGCCATTCTAGTGAGTATGAAACACAGGAGTTTCTTATAGCTCTACGAGTTCTCATTTAATCTCACAAACATTGGGGGAGGTATCCACAGAGTGAAACAACTAATGCAAAAAGTCTTAAGTTTGGTACTCAGAACTGCTAGCGTATTTATTTAAAGTTTATTTAAGCATTTGATTATGAGTTGGTAGTTTGGGTGATGATTATTATCCTAGAATATATGCACTGAGACGTATCTGTATTTCTCTTTTATTCTTTCTTTTAGCTACCTGAGAAGAAAAGGAATAATAATAAATGAAACATCTGCAGTTGTGTATGCTCAGTTACTCACAGGTCGTAAATATCAAATAAATCAAAATGGTGAAGTTCGTCTAGAGAAACAGTGGTCAAAACAAGTTCTTCCTTTTGTTTATCAAACTGTTGTCAAGGTAAGTCTCCATCAAGTCTTAATTCTATCTTAATGTATACTGTTGCACAGTGTATAGAGAAAAGATTATATCATATTAATATTTATTTATAAATAGAAGACTAATTCAGCAATGTATAATGGATATTATTGTTTAATATAATTTGCAAAATATAGTAGTCTTTAAAAGGAGTATTACATGCTCTGACACTCGCCCTGTATGTGATTAGGAAACTTGTCTTTTGTTTAACTTTATCTCTAAAAGAAAAATCCCAGTATTAACTTACACCCTTGCATTTTTAGATTTTTTTTCTCCAAAAACTGTTTGCCTTAAAAAAATTAGTAAATACAAAAGGCATTTGCTTTTATTATGTAATCTTAGATGTGATAAGGGAACAAAAATTTTTTAAAGTGTGCAGTGATCCTATAATTTTGGGGAAACAGTATAGTGTAGTGATTAAGAGCACAGACTGCCTGAATTGACTTCTTTGCTGTTTGACTTTGGGCGAAGTCAAACCCCCTTTCTGTGCCTTAGTTTCCTCATCTGTAAAGTGAAGCTAGTATTGGTTTCTGTCACAGACAGTTGTCTTGATTAAATGAACTAATAAATGTGTGAAGTACAGTCATGCGCTGCATAACATTTCCATCAAGGGACCACATATAAAAAGGTGGTCCTGTAAGATTAGTACCATATATCCTAGGTGAGTAGTAGGCTATACTATCTATGTTTGTGTAAGTACACTCTATGATGCTTGCACAATGAGGAAATCACCTAACAACACATTTCTCAGAATGTATCCCCATTGTTAAATGATGCATGACTGTACCTAGAAGAGTGTCGTATACACAGTCAATAAATTTTAGCTACTAGTATTGTTATGTAGAAAAATCTTTGTATTTGACATTTGCAGTTAGCATAGTCATAATCCCATAAGCAAAAAGACTTGATGTGCAATCTATAAAAATTTTGACTGTGATGATTTACTTTTATTTTATTCTACATAGGACATCCGAGCTTTTGACTCCCGTTTCTCCAATATCAAAACACTGGATGACTTGTTTCCTCCTAGAAGTATGGTCTTTATGCTGGGAACCCCCTATTATGGCTGCATTGGAGAAGTTAGTTCCTGTTATTGTTATTAATTAAATTTCTTTCTAGTTTCAAGTTAATACAATTATTTAACATCTCTTCATTTAGGTGTAAAATAAAATGTAATACTGAAGGGGAAAAATAAGAAAGAATTCATTCATCTAACTTATGAACAGTATTTGGCTGTGTATCTTTAGTCTTGAGCAGGTTGGGGTCAGGAGGTGGGGGAAAAGAGAATTCAAATCCTGATCTCTTTTTTAGCAGATCTGTTTATTGTGGTGGTATAGATGGAGCAATTCTGAAATTATTTTAGATGTATTATAGTGTTAATGAATTTTTAAATGTATTGATGATTTGGGGAACTCCGGTTCTCACATGGAAATAGGTACATGCAAATATGTAATGGGAGAATGTAAGAAAGAACCTGTGGGGATAGATTAGCATTGGAGGTATTGATGTGAACTCATGATTTCTAAAATACATGTGTATAGTGTGTGTATGTATGTATATAGGCACATGTATTTGTGTATATATGTATATTTGTATATACATGAATGCATATATGCCTATACATACATATATTTTCTAGCTCAGTTTGCTCAAAAGGATAAGAAGCAAAGACACCCTGGTAGCTGTGAACACATATAATGCCCAGATCTTGACCTCTAGTACTATACCTTGAAAGGAACAGGGCGTCTCAGAGAAATGGCTGATTACAGGGCTGGGGCAGGGTAGGTACAGAATGAAGCTGGAACCTCTTATTATGCCAGAAAGCAAAGAAGTGCTCAAAAGAATGATAGGAACATATCACATAAACACAGGAACCGGATTGAAGTGGCTTCTACTGGCCAAATCTGGGACAGTTTGAGTACCAAAATAATTAAGTACAGTAATGAATTATAAATCATTGGAAGGAAAACAGGAATTCATGATTCCACAGTGATAATATATAGATAAATAAATAGGGAGGGAGGGGCTCTTGCTTATAGTATCATGTAAGCGTAAATGTGGAGAAAGTGCTGGAGTTGGAAAACCATCCTTTTGCAACCATTATGATAAAGATTGAATCAGGCAAGAATCATCATTGGAAGATAAACCTAGGGAGAATTTTTGATCAGGAGAAGGATATTTTCATGATCTTAGAAAGTGTCTCCCCACAGAGTGTTTATTAGTGGCAAGGAAAACAAAAAGAGTCATTGTACGTGAAGAAATTGAGCAACATCTTGATGGTATGATCAGAATTAATATCTTAATGAGGGACAGATGGACATCATGTACCTCCAGATGTGACATCCTAAGAGGGACACATCACCTACGTACTATTCTAGCTGAGAATGGATAACCTTGACCTAATCACAAGGAAGCATCAGACAAATCCAAAATGAGAGTAGAGAGGGAGGAGTGAACTGTGTTCTTCAAAATGTCAATGTTATGAAAGACAAAAAAAGGCTCTGGATATATTCTCAATTAAAGAAAGCTGAAGGCAACTAAATGCAATATCTGATTCTAGTCTGGATCCTGTCGTGAGGGAGAAAAGAGTTTTCTCTAAAGGACATTTTTAGGTCAACTGACAAAATTGGAATATGGACAGTAGATTATATGGAAATATTGTATCAATGTAAAGTTATGTACCTAATTGCTGTGGCTATACAATAAAATATCCTTCTTCGTAGGAAATATATACTGAAATATTTAGGGGTAAGGGATATGATATCTGTAATGAACCCTTGAGAAGTTCAGAAAAATAATTATGTGTATGTAAATACACAGCACAAGTGTTAAAGCAAGTGGAGTAAAATGTTAACAATAGGTAAATCTGAGTAAATGTTGCTCAAGTGTTCTTTGACTTATTTTTATTTTTGCCACTTTTTGGTAGTTTGAAATTATTTGCAAATAAAAAGTTAATTTAAAAAAAAGACTGGTTAACAGCTATTAAAGCAAGGATACAGTAACAAATTTACAGTATAATCACATCCACTTACAAATTCCAAGAGAATTTCCACTATGCAACTTTATTGTCTTACTGTATTTCAGTAGTAATAAACACTGTTCAAATAAGTAGAAAAATAAGTAAATAAAATGTAGTGAAGGAGACTAAAACATACTGTGATTCCCCCTCCCCCCCAGGTTCAGGATTCAGGGGATGTGATTACAGAAGGTAGGATTCGTGTGGTTTTCAGTATTCCATGTGAACCCAATCTTGATGCTCTAATACAGAACCAGCACGTGAGTACTGTAGTTCATATTATTTAATTTAGAATTGGTGAACTTGAGAAATGTTAGGAGGATATTTTTGCCACCTCCTTTGAATTTATTGCAAATATTTTATTTAATACTGACTGAATTCTCTCACAGTTACATATAGTATTATTTAAAAGTAAGTATGGAATCTATGCTCAAAACTTCATGCATGTCTTTGGTGGGGGGAATCACTGACATTCCATTACTAGCTTGTAATGGTTATTATGGGTTATTGTGTTCAAGTTTATAAGCGGCACATTGATTAGCATACCCTCTAACAATAGACTTAGGCTTTTTAAACCTTTCATAATTAATCAAAGCCCATATTTTTAGTTACGAGTGACAAATGACCTGCCTTCAAAGGTCATGTGTCTCTACTCAGCCAAAGATGAACAGTCTCGAAAATTGAGAAAATTGAGAAACTGCCTTTAAGGTCACAGCATCCGTTTTCAGGACCTTTTTCTCCAAAGATGTCCACTGGTCTCCTTTTATTTTTCCCTGTTAAAATAGGTGGAAGATCCTGATGTCTGCCATTTGTTCTTGCTGATTGATTGGATAATTAACTTGACTGAAATTAATTCACAATCAGCCAGCTATTGCTCCTTAGACTTTTATTTTCTCTAATGGTAAAATCTAAAGCTTTATATCCTGTGAAATGAATTTAAGGCAATAGGCATCAGCATACCCATGAGGAAACGTTATGGAAGGCAGAGAAGTCCCTAAAACTTACCATCAGGTCTCTTTTGGAGAAAGAATTCAGAAAGCATAGTTAGGAAACCAGGAGAGTGGCCCATTAGATAACAAAGCTGGCGCTCTGTCCTGGGAGTCAGTGGAGGTAGAACTTGGGTTCCTTCATCCCTGGCTTTTTCTAGATCTGAAAGAGCCTGCCCCCTTCCTAGTGCACAGTGTTGCTCAGCATGCCTTCACCAGTGTACTTTCTTTCTCTACCCCAACATTCTCAGCTTTTTATTTTACATTTCTAGGATATTTGTGATGATTTTAATTAATTTTTAATTATACCATAACCCAGTATTTCTCAAAAGGAGTACTGTTGGTATTTGGGGCAGGACAGTTATGTGTTACATAAGACTGTCTTGTATATGACAGGACACTTGGCATCCTTGGCCCCTGGACACTAAATGCTAGTACCCGTGCCAGTTATTGTAACTGAATGTGCCCCAACACATTTTTCCAAATGCTTATTAGAAAAGTGGTACTACCTTAATTCTTTCTATCTATTCTGGAAAGCATACTTGATTTGTCTGCATTATTTCTAAATCTGATAATGTTCTTGATGAAAAAACTGTTTCATTCTTTACTAGCATATTAATATATTTTAGTAGTGACTTTATATTCCAGCCCACTAAAACAATTTATCCATTTGGGGGTCATTGTAGATATGATCATTAAAAATAAAATGGTGGCTGAATTAATACCTTACCAATCTCTGGAAATTTTGTTTTTGTTGGTGATATCTTTATATATATATAAATTTATATATATATATATATATATATAT